AAGAGATGACAACAATGTGCGAGCATGTCAGACTCAGGCTGATAATAGTGAAAAGCTTGTGGAAAGAGTCCCATCATGTTTAATCAGAGATGGCAAAAGTACTCACTTTCCGTACTTGAGTAAAAGTACAGATACTTGTGTTAAAAAATACTCTGGTAAAAGTGGAAGTACTGATTAAACTTCTTTACTCAAGTAAAAGTAACAAAGTACAGGCTTGTAAATTTACTTAAAGTATAAAAGTAAAAGTAGAAACCACTTTTTTCATGCCGTTGCCTACATTTTAAATGGATGTCTGCCAATAGGACTAGATCTCCGTTGTGTTCATTTTCAATCATCTCGTCGTCCATACTACTATGCTAACGCCACCGCCACCAAGCTGCAATGATTTGCCGTGAATGAATACCGCCGAATCTGTCGATTCATCTTGTAGTGGTGCGTCAAATGCAACGTAGATTCCTATCCAATTAGATTGAATTTGGTATTGATGACGTGAAAAATAATAACGGTAACTCCATTGAAATTATTCAAAACTAAAGTAACGAGCCAATTTTTTAAAAATGTAAGGAGTAGAAAGTACAGATATTTGTGTAAAAATGTAAGGAGTAGAAGTAAAAAGTCGCCATAAAAATAAGTAGTGAAGTAAAGTAAAAATATCAGAAAAATCTACTTGAGTACAGTAACGAAGTATTTGTATTTCGTTACTTCCCATCTCTTTGTTTAGTCAATACACTACAGCAAAGTATAAAGAAAAAAAATGAAAATTAAAGTAATTAAAAAACACCCCCATTATTATTTTCTATTTTTTACCCGCCAAAACACTCCACCTCAGATCCTCCAATCTAGTCTTTTAAATCTGCAAACTTTCCAAATTACAAAGAAGTAAAAAAAAAAGTAGTAAAAAAGTAAATGATAAAAGTGTATAATGGACCTTTTAAGTTAAGTACAGTAAACCTGCTGCATGCCTCCTGGAACAGTCAGAAGCACCAGGAGCTTCAGCAGCTGATGGCTCCTCATCATGTTTCACTGCAGACGCTCCGATGGTCCATTACATTCGCCTGCAGAGGACATGAGGTTAAGAGGTTGCAAACAGAGTGAAGGAGGAGCTGAGGACTGCTCGCCGACAGCTGGCACTGGTGATTAGACCCTGCAGTGATGCAGAGGAGGCATGAAAGCTCTTTAGGGAGAATCCCCCTAAACAGTAGGAGGCAGGGACACACGCAACACCCAAATCCCAATACTTCCTGGTAGCTGAACATACCCAGAAACAGGGCTTACTGGTGCAATGGCGTACAGACTGCGCAACACAGACCATCTTTCTTCCTCAGATTCATCAGCGATTAATGGATTTTCTAAAGCTCACAGTGCGAGCTATAGAAAAAGCGTGATGGTGTGAGGCTCACACCATCACGCTTTTTCTCTCTGAGATACTGGTAACTATGGTGTGTCATTAGATTAGGCTGGGTGTGGAAGTTAATGGAGCTCCTCATTAATCTCAAACACTAATTGCTGTTGTCTCAGTTGCTCCAGTGGCTTGTATATCATAGTATCAGTCACATTAAAGGACAATTACGCTAATTTCAGCATGTTGGTGAGTATCAAATGTTTTGTCGGTTTTTAAGAAGGTGATAAAAGTGTTTGGAGATGGAGTTGTAAATTTATCTCCAATCAAAAAGATGGGAGTCTGGATAATAACTGTCTGAAAGGAATAAGTTATGAACAGCAGACGAGTGTTTTTTTTCTGTAAATGCATCGGGTACCCTAAATGGGTTCAAAAATTACCCAAGCTCAGCTTACACCCAAACAAGACATTGCACTTCAGTGCTTTCATACAAACATCCACACACACTCACATCCAGTCCCTGGATTACAGTAATCAAGGAGGTATTTTTAGGACTTCATGAGCATAGGCAGGACATCTAGGAAAACAGATAACGGCTGTCATATGACCGGCTGGATTTTCTTGGAACATGGTTAATTATGTTGTGTCCTCCATGAACCCAAACTAATGCTGAGAGCTAAATCTGAATGTAAAGGCTGAGGAGCTGAATGTGAGTTCATGGGAATACAAATCTGGGTCACTAGGTTACAAATCTACCCTGTACTGGTTACAATACATTTCTAAACATACCTGGACCTATGAATTTCAGTCAGGATTAGGTACCTTTTAAATTATTTCACTGATTCTGAATTTGGGGAGTGGTGGCCTAGTGGTTAGGGCAGAGAGCTTGGAATCCTGAGGGTGTGAGTTCGAGCCCCATCCCACAGACTGCCAGTCTGGCTCCCTGAGCGAAGATCCTTAACCCCACACTGCTCCCCAGGCACTGAAAATGGCAGCCCACTGCTTCTTAAAGGGATGGGTTAACTGCAGAGAGTGAATTTCATTGTGCTGTACTTGTGATAATATAATGACAAAGTAAACATGCAAATAAATATGAAAAAAAACATAATATATAGGCCACCTTTAAATCACAAACGGCAATGGATTACAATTTGAACAAAAAGCACTGAGGTTTAAAGTCAATTACCGTAAATCCTCTAATATTGGCCTGTATTCCATTAGCGGCCGGGTCTCTAATATTGGCCTGTCTTGCTGTCTGCGCAGGTAAATACTGGCCGGACTCTTATAAAGGCTGTGATGTTCCTGGGCAGTCCTCAACAACTTGTGATAGTAACATATCACAGTGGGGCAAAGTTTGCTAACGAATCCCACCCATTAGCATAGCCAGACAGGGGGTTGGCTGTTTTGTTTTTATGACTGAAATTGCGGAAAACAACTCGTGAAGTTTGACCAGCTAGAAGAGCAAGGTGCGATACATGATGAGGTCGCCGTCATGTCCCTCTGTTGTCGGACAATCTTGCCCCCACTCCCACATAGCCTCGACCGTACCTACTGTAGACCCACAGCGTATAGAACAGAGCACGCTTCAATATTGAGCATAAATCAAAAGTGTCTGCATCAAGCTCACTTCGACACACTGCTGCAGGAGTATAACCAGCATCACAATCGTTCTGATCTGAAAGACAAATGTGATTACTGGTAGGTCTGGTGGTAACCAGGCAGCGTTTTCATTAAAATGTTCGTTAAAATGACAAAAGAAATTTGTTGTTCTGAATTTTCCTTGAAATATGTGATACTGGTAGCCTACTTCCACTTAGCCTGCCTCAAATGAAATTTTGCTCCGATGGCAGAACAGTTTCCGTTATGAAAAAAAAAAAAAGTAGTTTCGCAAGTCAGTTTGGCCAAGATTCCATTCTGTGTCTTTTGTTTTTTTCGTATTGCTGTGCAGAAAAAATGCAGCTGCTGGAAGATGTCTGAATAATGTTCTATATACCGTTATGGTAACTGTTACTTTTTCAATAAATGAACCTAGTATTTTATAGGTTCAAAGAGACACAAAATATTGTTTTTATTCATTCCACTGGTAGTCAGTTTTGATCAAATAGAAATAGAGGCAAATAAAAATCTTAAAAAATGTGGTGGAGCATTTATTTCCATTTTCCTGTGTCAGTAATGCTGCAATAAAAAAAAATGCAGGGAGTAGTGTTGTTGTCTGTTTGGAAGATGTACCTCTCTCTAAGTCTAAAGGCTTCTGCAGGTTTACTTCCAGGATTATCTTGATGCAGCTCATTCACTCTACCTATCAACTTTGACCCTATCCAGCGTTAGGTTGGCTCTTACCCTGTTTTGCACAAGCCACTGAGGTTAGTCTCATCTGACCTGAGCCGCTCCCTTTTTACAGCTGTTCCTCCTGCAAAGCTTGTAACATTCACTTATATTCAGACACAAAATATAAACCCTTGCAATAGCTTTTATTAACAACTGTTTGTATAATAGTGTGTCTGTGATTTAGTTTTATATCTTTTGATGTTTACTTGCCGCACATTATAGGAGAGGTACTCCAGATTTCATCGTACTGTTTGATTGCACATAAACAACATTCATTCATTGAAAAACAGACAGCCGCAGTGCTTTAAGTGGGCAGGTGTCACATAGATATTTTACCCTTCAGCACACCAGAACTGTACGCTGTAGATGTTTCAGGTTAGTGAGCAAGAGAAGACATGATAAATGATCATCGCTGCGATGTATTCCTGGCCTCAAAAGAACTTAAACCAACTGGAGCATAGCTGAACTATACCAGCAGCACTCTGAGGACTCCTTCACTACATAAGGAAATGGAGGTTGATCGTGACGCTGCTAAAAATGTGATATCATTTCAGATAAATGCTAAGATCAGGGGCGGTTCTAGCTTTTTAGCAGCCCTTAGCGCTATTACTCTGTAATTCCCCCGACCTGGATAGAAACAATAATTATCAGTTTCTTATAAGATAAATTCCTAATATTAATGTTTTGAGAACAGCTGCAATAAATCATCTCATCAAGGGAGTCCAATCTGAACATGATGACTTGATGAGATGACTGGAGTCTGGTGTGCTACTGCTTGGTTGGAAAGAAAACCTGCAACCACACGGCCCTTTCTGGAACCGGTTTGACACCTGTGCCCTAGAAATATATATATATATATATATATATATATATATATATATATATATATATATATATATATATATATATATATACCCAATATATGTCAATGTGATATAGGTTACATTTACAGTACATGAACAATAAAAGCAGATTATTGCGAAATATATTTTATTCATTAGAGCCATCTCTGCATTTCCCCCTAAACAGCTCTTTGTTGCCCCCTAGTGAGTAAAGGATGAAGACATTTTGAGTTAATGATATACTCTGGCTCCAGAGATGTGGTATATAGAAAAAACAAAACAATAACAGAATAAAAAATAAAGTGATGGATGTTGGTTAAAAGTAACAGAAGTGACCATCTGAATGAGGGGGGCACCAGTGCTTCACTGTGGTAGTGGTGTGTGGGTATTCAACCAAATAATCCTCTTTGAGATTTTAATATCTATAGGGAGGAAATAGAAAATGAATCATTGATTTATCCATTCTTTGTTTTGTTTGTGTGGGGGGAAAATTACCTGTAATAATTGAGTTTAAAGGGTCCGTGTTTGCTGATGCCGAGGTACTGGGCCTGCTCATCTGTCAGCTCTGTTAAATGAGCATCAAACATTGGCAGATGGAGACTGGCCACATATTCATCTAGAATTAAAAATAAACACAAATAGTTTCACTCAGATTTCAGATTATACTTGTTGAGCAGAGCTGTTGCATTCAGCTTTAGGATTCAACTTGCCCATCTTCTTTGGCAGCAGGTAAACATCCTGTTTGTATCGTCCTGCTGGAGCGTTGTACAGCTCTATTAAAGCCAAAGCCTGAAACACAATGGTGTCAAATTAAAGACAAGAAACCTTGTTTGATAGGTAAGATAATCAGGTTTTATACCTGAGTTGCTGCTGTGACTGAGAGGACAAATGACGGCACAGTGGAGCAGCTCAGATTCAGCAGCCGACCCTGATAAAAAGGAAAGGGAGAGAAATAAAGCTCGAGTTTAGAAGTTATAAAATAATCCCACAAAAGTCTGTATGTTTTTCTCCCGACATCCAGAAGAGGGTGATAAACCATCTGTGTTTGTCAATGGAGAGAGATTGGATGTGGTTGAACACTTGAAATGTCAAGCAGCATGTAAAGAGAGTCTCAAATATAATTAGATTTAATCTTTCAAACTTTTAACATAAGGTCCTCTCTTGCTTTTGAATCAACAAAATCCTATATGCATGCCATGATATTTAGTTATATAAAATATTGCCATGCCACATGGTCTCACACATCTTCAAGAAAATTCTCAAACCTCTTGACTAAAACCGTTTATTTTATCATTATTGTAACATTTTAAGTAAGTGCATCATTTTAGACTTTGAACATCATCAGATATTTTTGAATGCATGTCTTGTTTTTAAAGTTTTAAATGGACTTGCTCCTCCTCCTCTCACAAATTTAATAAGAAAAAGGAAGAAAAGAAAATATTGGAATAAACACCAGGGCTTATGTTCAGTGGCGTAGGACCAAATTTGACGAAATTGTTGCTTCCATTGGAGGAGCACAGTCATGGAACACACTATCAGCTAAGTTTTAAAATCTCCTTGAAACATTGGTTGAAAGCTAACAACACATGTGTTCACAGGTGAATCGATCTGCTATCTTGCACCTGTTAAAATCTCATTTTACTGTGATTTTATGTTATTGGCATCTTATGTTTGTGTCCACCCTGCTCTCTCCCGTATTGTCTTGTTTAATGTTCACTGTTCTTACCTGCTTTAGGACAGCAGATGCAAATTAGGTGTTGTGCTAATATGGATATTTACATTGACGCTTTAAGTTGACTTAATATTGATAAATTTACATTGTCCCCTTTCAAATAAATAAATAATCAAAAGTAAAAACACTGAAGATAACAATAAAAATAAATGGATAAAGAGAACTGTGCACAAAAGTCTTGAGCTTTCTAAATGTTTCCTGTCTTTTGTATTCCACGAGTTTTACAGATGATGATAAAGGCCTAAAGGAAGGGATCTACAGATAATCGGAAAATAAATTAGTTAAAATATAGCATTGATCTTTCGCTGGGTAATATAGAGGATCTGTCATATTGTGAAATTGTCTCTTCCAAAAATTCCTGAGATCATTTGAAATACAATAATCGACTAGTACGTAGAAGGTTAAAAGAGTATTAATCTAGAGTTAATTTACTTTAAGCCAACCAGGGTTTCTAATAAGCATGAAAAAGTATAGGGAAAAAAAGAAAATTCATCCATCTCTTGCTTCCAGTCAGGGCTGCGGTGGGTCCAGTGACTATCTGCAGCAGTTTACGGGCGAGAGGCGAGGTACACCCTGGACAGATCGCCAGTCTATCGCAGGGCAACACAGAGACACACAACCATGCACACAATCGCACCTAAGGAGAATTTCAGAAAAGCCAGTTAACCTAACAGTCATGTTTTTGGACTGTCGGCGGAAGCCTGAGTACCTGGAGAGAACCCACGCATGCACAGGGATAACATGCAAACTCCATGCATATAGACCCTGCACCAGGAATCTAAATCAGAACCTTCTTGCTACAAGGCAGCAGTGCTACCCATTATCCACTGTTCAGCCCCAAAAAACAAAACATTTTTGGTTTTCTAATAATAATCTACAATTTGTTGGTACCCCTACAGGGACGTGTGTTCCCTTGGTTTTTTCTCTAACTAGTAACAGATGTGCCTTCAAGCTTTTCCTTAATTTTCTGAATATTTAAAGAAAATAAAAGCAATTTAGTATCATTACATTGCTCTTAACATGGGCCAAAGAAAACAAAGGCTATGTTTAGAAACTCTTCATTTTCACGTTAAAGGTAAAGGTTTCATGTTCCTCCACAGTGACAACAGATCCAAAGAATATTAGAAAGTATAAAGTGAATAGAAACGTATGTTCCTAATCACACAGTCACAGTCCGAGCGATTTGAATGGCCCCCACCTGCATAAGCAACATGAGCATGGCAAAGATGAGCGCTTTAGAGGTGTGTCCTCGGCTGAATCTCTGATCATGCCACATGGGCAGCATGTCCAGTTCCCGTCTTATTACTGCTGGGTACTCCATCTTGATCAAATCATCAGATCTGCCTGTTAGGGCCTTTAAAATGGTTAGCTGTCTCTGCATTTTCAGGAGTGGGTTATGTGGTTAAAAAAAGCATAATCACCTCAGCCAGGAGGATGATCCGCCTGCCATCAGGCCAGATGATATGGTCCACGTGAGGCCTGACACGGCTCCACTTCAGCTCTGCAGTCCGAAGGCTCGCCTGTGGAAGGAACATTTTTTTGTTGAAACACTCAAATGTTTACACACACAAAAGTTTATCTAGCCGTAAAGAATCTTTACCAAATCTATCTCGGTATTAGAGTGTCCCATGTTGCAGACGATGCAGCCGCTTCTCATTCTGTCGAAGTGCTCCCGAGTTATCACGTTCTTGTTGCCTTTGAAGAAAACAACAATTTGCAATGCCATGCAAAAGTATTTATTTTCAATTTTTTTCCCCTCATTTTGACAGAAAATCAATTTTCATTTTTCAGGGTTCTAAATCAATGTAAAGTAGTAAATAATACTAAAAGCTGGAAAAAAAAAAATTTTTTTTCTAAACCAAAGGTCTAAAACGTGAGGATCATGATCCTCCTAGAAGTCCCTTCTCTTTCTTTAATGTCTTTGAGTCTCTGATCTTCTCCAGACACAGGGCTTGGTTTTAAACCTGCATCATTAGCTTCCTGACAACATAGCCCTTTTTGTTAGATTGCTCCTTTTTCAATTTATTTATTATTTTCCCATAAGCACTCCTCTGAAAACATGTATTAATTATTTTATATTGTTGCCTTATGTAAGAGAAATAATACAATAATGGCCCCCATGCACCTCATTACCTTCATATATTTTATGTTTGGTTCATTACTGTGGTATTTAAAAAACATCACAACAGAATTTATAAAAGATTTTTCCTTTTTTTTTTTTTTTTTTTACCAGATTTGACTTTATCTTGATCATTTTGACCCCCTTAACATGGGTAAGTTTGGAGACAGCTGGTGTCACTGGTGCCTTTTTCCAGTCATTAGATTAGAGGTAACTAGTCTAAAGCAGAGCCACATAGAGACAGACCCTAAAACCAGGTTGGTCAATACAACCAAAAAAGTGCTTAAATTTCACTGGTTTTGTCAAACCAATCTTTTGTTCAGAACAAGCAGTCTAATTTGTTAGTGTTTTTAACCAATGTATATTGGTAAAAGGGTAAACCAATACAAATCTGTCACTTTGACCAAAATACTGGTTAATTAGTGTAACAACATTGAAAGCTGACACCAAGTAGAGCCAGCAAGAGAAAGACTAAAGTTTGATGGAAAATTCCTGGGAAGCCTGCTGTCAAAACAATAAGTGTTATTCCGGATTCGGGCTTCCCCCTTTCTTAAATCTCCTCTGGATGTTATGGCGAAAGGGCACAGAAGAACTGCCCCCCCACGAACTGTTGATAAACAGTTTTTTTTTTTTATATCAAAACCTCTTTCCTGTCAAGGATAAAGTATGAAATATGCTTTTTTCCCCTCTCGTCCCCAAAGTGGCTCCTATCCTTTCACAGAGTTAAAGGCAGCACTATAGGTAACCACCTGGGACCTGGGATTCCAGGTAACTGGTGGAAACCTGGCAAACCATGAATGCAAACTACTGCATGCATGGCCTCAGATAATCCGTTCCCCTTCTCAGCCCACCCAAACCAATGTATGGGATGTATTGTGATGAACGGTTTGAACTGAAACTGAAATCTCAATTGCAACGTAAATTGCAGTTGACAATACAGATTGATTGATTGATTGATTGATTGATTGATAAAAACCATGGCTTGAACCACCAACCCTTTCATTGCAGGGCAAAGTCCTGCATCTGATGCCACTGCTGCCATTACAACATCTTGGAATTTAATACATGGTAATTGTTCTCTTTGTCCATAACTGTCATATATAAAACTGGTTTACCCAAGTAGATTGGTGGTTCTTCCGACCAATCCAATTTTAGAGTGCACACCTTGATGAATGCATTAACAAAACAAATTTAGAGAAACCAATCAACTATCATGTCGCCTGTAGAAAATCACAGATGCAATGGAAGAAAATGTAAGGAGCAAAAATCCTACAGGATTCAAACCTAGGTTATTCTGAATATAATTTTTGCACAAAGTATGTAGAAGAGGTGAGCAGTACCTGTGCAGGTGATGACCATGTGTACGTGTTTAATTATTTCACTCAGTGTGGTTACTCTGAGGCCATCCATGCTGGGAGGAGGAACAGGGGGGGAGAAAATTAGGCTGAAACAGTCATTCATTATGTTTTGTTGCACTGCAGCTCTTATGGAATGGAACATTTCCCATCCCGGATGATAAAAGCTAAATTTTCTTCATACCAGGCCTGAATGGCGCAAATAGGATCCACTTCTGTCACATAAATGATGGCGCCCAGCCCTTTCAGAGCAGCACAGCAGCCTTTGCCAACCTGTGAGGGGAGAGACAGCAAAAACAGGCTGGTTGAGCTGCGGAAAGATTGGGAGGTCATTTTAAGGACCCGCGTTTTTGTTAGACTGACCTCGCCATAGCCACACACCACCACCTGCTTTCCTCCAAACATGACGTTAGTCGCTCGCTTTAACCTGGAAGAGGTCAGCTCGAGTCATTGCAGTGCGAATCATCCCACGTGTTTGTGGTCACAACGCCATTCCTTACCCATCCAGTATGGACTCCTTGCAACAATAAAGGTTGTCAAACTTCTGCTTGGTCACAGAGTCGTTCACATTCATGGCAGGAACGCACAGCTTGCCAGCCTTCGACAGTTGATACAACCTAGAAAGACCACAGAAACACCAGCTTTTACAATACAGCTTGATTCTAGATAATATAATTCAACCTTTGTGGGAAAACTAACCGATAGATGCCTGTCACACTTTCCTCCACAATGCCTTTAAGTTTTTTGAAAAGGCCTGGATACTTCTTGTAGATCCAGTGGGTCAAATCACCACCATCATCCAGGATCTGAAGGTAAAAAGGAATTAAAGACCTTCAGTCTGATTAATCAAGATCAGATAATATTGAAAAATATGGCTCTTTGAATCCTAAAGATAAAGAAGTAAGGGAAGAGTTTAATCTTGTTTATGTCCTGTGAAGTGATCTGAAACTTACACTGCATTGTTATGTGTTATAACCCACCTTCAGAATGACACCTAAGTGCATTCAGCCAGTATTTCCTGTGGAAAATGTTAAATAGGAGCTTTGCCCTGACTGAGAAGAAGACACTCCTTAAACACTAACCATGTGATCAAAAACTAAACTGCAGTTTTTGAGTTTCTGTATCAGTCATGTGCAGAATAAAAATCATAAACAGAATTAATTAGAAGATTAATACTTGGACAGTAACCATGCAAGATAAGAGTCTTCTTTTGATCATTGCAATTTCAAAAAATCCAACTATACATTGAATATCTTTAGCATTTTTTAAATTTTCCACAGTGGTGGGCCGGGAAACCAGACATCACCCCAACCTAACATTATGCTCGCTCTGCTTTTCCTCAGAGTAGCTTTGCCTCGTCTGTTCCTGTTTGGCTGTGACGCCATCCTGGAGAGAAACATCGACTGTGCTGCTTCCATCAACACCCTTGTTTATAGATGCTGGAGCTTGTCCTGTTTTCCAGTGTGGTCCTGTTTCTCTGACCGTGACTGGCTGGATGTGCTCTCTTCGTCCTCTGGTATGGGAGCTGGCTCGGAGCTCGTCTGCCTGGCTGTGTGTTTCCTGGACAAGGCCACCTTCTACAGCTGCTTTTTGTGTCTCTGCTTCTGTCTCCTTGAACCCCAGTCGGCCTCGGCAGATGGCCGCTCACACTGAGCCTGGTTCTGCTGGAGGTTTCTTCCTGTTAAAAAGGAGTTTTTCCTCTCCACTGTCGCTACAAGCATGCTTAGTGTGAGGGATTGTATTTGAGTCAATGAGTTGATGCAATCAACTGGTTTTCCTTAGATAGAAAACTTTGTATCAATTTGACTGTATGATCTGGTTGAACTGTAAAGTGCCTTGAGATGACATGTGTTTTGAATTTGGCGCTATATAAACAAACTGAATTGAATTGAACCTGTTCAAGGACAGAAGTACTCCTGGTCAGAGAATGGTGCCAAATTCAGGTGGATTTTAAAAACGACATCTCAGATCATGAGCAATGGAAAAGAAAATGGATGCTGCTTTCCAGCAAGATACAAAAACTGATCTCATATTCCACTGAGATGATATTTCTCAGTTGTCCTCCATTTTGAAAGCTTAGTCTGTTTACAAATACTAATTTTTACTTCAGGTTTAACTCATGCTTCTAGTGTCAGGTTTAACTCATTCTATGATGTTTATATTTTGCTTTTTCTGATGTCATTCTGAATGAGTTTTTGATGCCCTCTACTACTCTTGGTAGACTAAACTCCTTGTAAAACTCATCATTATCTTGCTTTCTCACATTTTGGTGATTATCAGTTAACAAGAGTCCAAAAGGTTTGAAAATATTTCTTTCGGGCCCTGTTTCCATTTAAAGTGGCATATATTCCAAAGTTTTATTCCTTTACCCATTGACCTCAGCATCTCCCCCATCCTCCATCAGCATACTTTTAAGTAAAAGCCAATAGTGTCAAACAAATCTTAAAAATAATAAGTTTTTTTTTTTTTTTTTTTACATTTCTCTTAACACAACATTACAACATGTTATTTGTTTTTCCAATATATTATCAGAAACATTTTAAATGATGTGATCGGCCTGTTGAACCACTAGTAGGTGATATTCCATTTCTTAATTGTTCTGCATATGTGAAAGAGTCTCTCCATATAGGCAGATTCTATTTTTTCGCGGATTACCAGATGAGATAGCCAGAAGGTTTACAAAACATATTTTGAAACCTGTTTTCAAATCATGCTGATTTTTAAAGAAAACAGAGCAAAGGTAGAAACACATCAACATTTTCTCCCATTAATCATTTGGATAATACTGATACTTCTTGTACCATAATTGTTTGGTCAATGCCCCCAGAGAGGCTTTGTGACGCAAAAGCTTAAGATCCTTATTCAGCATACCAAGTTTGGCTCCCATGAGTCAGCTGCGACACATCGGTCGATACACCACCAGAAGTCTTCCTCTGATTCTCCTCTCCAGGCAAACACAGAGATTCCTGACAAACAATGAGACATTAAGAGGAAGAGGTCATAAGAACAAGAAAACAACCAGGTAGAGTTACTGTCAGTGGGGTTCACCTCCTTCAGCCAGAGCAGCAGCCACCGTGTTCTGAGTGGAGAAGATGTTGCAGGCGGCCCATCGACACTGAGCCCCAAGTGCTGCCAGAGTCTCAATTAAAACCTAAACCAGAACAGAAACACACCCAAAGCAGTCATTGCATATTTTCTGGTTGCAGTAAACTATTTGATGCTTTTGTTTTAAGACTAATCTATGGATACTGAACGTGTAGTCACCTTACTTGCATGTATATTGACTAATTGTATCTGAACTTTAAATGAGTAAAATATTAAAAACATGGAAAATTTAGTCTGATTAAAGTCTTTGTTTTACTGATAAATAACCTTTGCACTATAGAAATGTTGATCCGTGTTATTAAGCATAGAAAATTTACATTTAAAGGTCTGAAAACAGCTTAATAAACTCTCTGGCGAAATCATCTAAAACACTTGAAGATGATGTTTTACAGGATAAAGCAGAGCAATTAAACCAACAGACAAATAATGCAGGAAATTACTAAGTACAGTTTTATGCAGGACTGACCGCTGTCTGTGCAGTGATGTGGGTACATCCCACCACTTTGGCCCCAGCCAGAGGTTTCTCCTCACCCGCTCTTTTCCTCAGGATCATCAGAGCAGGCATTCCTAAAAAGAGGAGGATTGGGATGCATACATTTTTATATCCCTGTTTAGTTATCCCTGTTGCATAAGTTTCCTTTAAATTGTAAAGGATCGCTGCATAAGTGATTTTCACACAAACTTGTTTGTTGCACCTTGCTGAGCGATGTCTATTTCTTCGCGTCCAAATGCAGCCTGTTTGATATTTTTGATGCAGAAATCAGAGAGGCCGCTGGACGTCTTCTGCGGCTTGTCTTGGGGAGCTGATTCATCCTCAGAGCTTTCGCTGCCAACTGCAACACAGATTTGCAGAAGATTTCTTATCCCAAGTTTTTTACTTATTCATAAGGTCTGTACATCTCTGCAGTACCAGTGCAATAATCCAAGTCAACTTCTGTGTAGTCTTTCCTTAGGTCTCTACTGTGCAGATATTTTTATATCTAAAGGAAACATGTTCCAGGATATTACAGCTTTTTTTTTATGTTTTTTTGTACAATATATACCCTTTTTATACTGTCTGTTGTGTTTTTATCTTTTGTGGCATCTTGCTTTACCTCTGCCCTTTATACTCTCTGTAAGCTACTGGAACCAGAATTTCCCTGAAGGAGTAATAATAAACAAGCCAACAACAAGCCAACAACTTTATTTATCCCAAGGGATAAATAAAGCTGAGTCTAAATCTAGGTCTAAGTCTATCTGTCAATGATTGTTTGTAGATGCTTAATTTGACCTTACTTAGCCGAAAACAGACATATATAAGAAAGATGATTTGTAATAAACTACCACTATCAACCTTAATTATTAAGTTAATCTGGAAGGAGAAAGCATAAGAAGCTGACCCTCAGAGTGTCAGCAGGGTGTGAGATCAGACCTGAACTGAAGCTGTCTACAGATGACTGGGAGACGGGGAGAGACAGAGGCCGTGGTCCCGCTTTGGTGGGAAGCTTGTTGAATTCTTGTTGGTCATTCAGCTGAATTTGCTGTTATCAAAGAAAAGAAAAGAAAGGAAACCATGAGATAAAATAATCTGGAATTTAAAAAAAAGAGAAAAATATCTTGGGTCACAAACAAAACAAATTTTGATCAGCAAAATGTCGTTAGCATTTTATTTTTTTGCTTCCTCACTATCCAGTGTGCTCAAAGGCTGAGCTGCTTTAGTTCCACCTGGCCATGTCTTCTCTCTGCGCTCTCTTGGACTATTCCTGAAGCTCAAGCCAACCGGTGTCCAAACATTTCAAATTTTCTGCTGATTTCACATCTTTCTAATACTCTTTTCCCATTGTGTGGACTTGTATCCAGACTCTATCACAGGCAATCCCACTTAAAGAAAAAAAAAACTGAACTCAGGATTGCATATTTTGGAGGATTACTACTAGGTTCAGCTGGAAGCTCTGCAGTCAAAAATGATCTGTATCTTGCATTTGCGACAGGGATAAATACGTCAGAAACTACGTGAGAAATCATAGCATCCTAACATCAGCACTTAAATATTAACTCCAAAGTAAAATGAATTAGTTAAGGGTTCACACAGACTTGGGAAGAGACTAAAGCAGAGGGAAAACTTGTCTAACAGTGGGAAAAACAAACCTTAAGCAGCTAAAATGCTGATTTATCACAGGAGTATTTTTATTGTTACTTTTTGTGCATAAGTTTTTTCTTGTTTAGTGTTAAGTTTTCCAGCTGTCACTCATCTAACTCACTGTACTATTTGCTCTTTCCCACATTCTCTTTGTGATACTTGCAAAGCCTTCCTTCCTTTTGTATTCACAGTATTGTGAAGCTCTAAAGACATTGTTTGTGATGATTCCTGGAATCTCTCTCTGATTTCCCATCATGTGGGTTCTGGGTACTTTATTCCTTGTTCGACTTGTTTCAGAACTATTCAGCCCTCCTCTCAAAGCTACAGTCTCTTCATGGTTGTTAAATCTAAGGTTTCTTCACCATGTCATAAAAAAAGTAATTTTTCTCTTTTATTTTTTGCAAATTCCGTTTTGTAAAACAGTTTAGAAAATTCCCTTAAAACAGAAAAGAATCTGATTTGTACAATTTATGACGAGCAAAAATAAACTAAACAGGACTTATATTGATTTATTTGCTTTACTTGTTAAATGTGAATCTTTATTCTTTGCAAACCAATTAAATAAAAATTCCCCAACATGCTGCTGGAAGACACATGTCCTGAATGCCTCTTTCATTATTATCCCCTGAAAGCACTGGACCCCTCTTTAAGCTACAGCTTAATCTTTAGGACAAAAGGACATTAACAGTGGCTTGGAACAGCTTGAAAGTTAACTTAATGATCTGGAAATAAAGAAAGGCTTTAATGCAGGCCGGGTACTGTGAAAAAATTGTTTCTTTTAAAAACACCTGTGCATTATCAATTATGGATTTTTATTCTCTTTTACATTTTTTTCAGCATAGATAATCAAACATTGTAATGATTTATAAAGAAACAGTCTCTAAAAATAGTTGAAATTTCCCCTAAAATAAAGCAATGACCTCCACGAAAATAAGAACAAGATTTGGTACCTTGATACTGATGGACTGAACTGCCTCCTGTTCCTTTGCTTTAGAAATGTTCACTAGGCTGTAAAGTTTCTTCATGTTGGCAGAGGGCTCCCACTGTGGCTCTAAGCAGCCCTGTGGAGCTGCAAGCTGACACTGCTAAACTGTTCACAGAGCCACAACTCTCCTTCACACCCACGCCCAACAGGTGACAGAGGGGATGAATAATGAACTCCTTGTAGAATCACACAGGAGGACACTGAGGAAACTTTAAAGAAGAAGGATAGAGGTAGCATGAGGGTAAAGCTGAATACGTCTATGAGGAGCTCTCTGCTTCCAAATGACAGAGATAAATGGAGGGGCTGAAGTAGAAAAGCAGAAACAGGTGAATACGTAAACCAGCCAAGAGGAGAAAAAAATTCCTGCTGGTTAGTTTATTAATCTCTTTTTTCATTCTAACTGACCGTACAACTGATTTTCCTCCCATGTTTAAAGTAGAAGTGGAGCTCAAGTGAAAGCCTCATCAAAGGATTTCAAAGCAATTAAACTTTGGTTTACATATTAATCTTTGCTTTGTTCAAGGCTGGAATGATATATGTTTTAAATTGTTTTACTTTCACAGGAGTTAAGTTTACCTTCATTTTCTCAGTGTTTGGTAGAACTACCTTTCCCATGGATGGGTATCCTTCAGCAAGCTTCTCTAAGTTATTTGGCTGATACCTCCAAACAAAGCAAGTGTAATTGCATCTGTTTTTTTGGGCCATTTTGCTCAACCCATTAAAATCTGAAAACCCAGCTATTTAACCTGCATTTTCCATAGTATTTAAACAACTGTAAATTTGCTTTACTAATGTATATTACAGGACATTTTACCAGAAAAGAAAGTATTTCTACAATATGTTCATTTGTATATAGCTGTCTCCATTTTGTTTTTAAAGAAATTGTCCTGGAGGAGTGACTTTTTACATATAGGGGGGAACACATATCTCCACAGTGTACTGTTTATGGAAGTAATGGTTAATTTGTTTCTTGAATTGTTCAAATGTTTTATTCAAAACAAAACCCTTTAAAAAAATCAAGAAAAAAAAAACAGCACAGGCATCTCTCATTGCCTTTATTCTCAAGCTGTTGAACAATTGGAGCCAATAATGTTAAGGCCACATCATAGAAGAAAGTAGCACAGCTGTTAACGACGGTCTTTAATGAAGCTCTGACTGCTACTGCTGTGTGTAATACATATCTGACTTAGTAACACATAGGGAAGTGGACCACCTGGAATTTTTGGGGGGATGAAGAGATCAGAATCAGGCTGATCACACTGCTGTGAAAAAGGATGATATAAGTTATATTTCTCAATAGAAGGAATGTAGCAAAAGATGTGTAGAGATTGTTCTCAGATGTATCTGTCCCCCTAGTTCAAAAATGCTATCTGCGCCCCTGGACACAGGACTTGTTTAAATGTGGACAGCTTTACCTTACATCTTTATAAGATCTCTTGTTATTATTCTGGGTTGATGTGCATGTTTCTCACCAAAATCACGTTAATCTCTACAAACCCAGTTACAGTGTATTGTTTGAATACATAAAAGCTGACACCTTCAGGAATTGAACCAAGGACAAACCAGACTTGTTGATTTCCATAAATGTTTTCTTGATAGCTTGCATGATATAACCAAAATCAATCAGTATAGGTGTTGCCATAGACACATCTGCAGCCATCCCTCCATTAAGTGAGAATGCTGTAAATCAACCAATTAGAAGGAGACATAACAAAAAACACCATCATCTAAACTACCCCCATTTTTTTGTATCTAAGCCTTTGAATTTGTATAAAAGTAGAGAAACATTATCCAAATAATCTTACTTCTGTCATTCTACTAATAAACAGAGAAAGGATGTTACCCTAACTGACCTAAAACAAGAAAGGGTTTATTTTTTTCTATCTTAATGTCAGTTATCAAAAAAAGGCTGAGTTGTTTTAGTAGCATTGAAACCTTTCCTCAGCTTTATTTCATCCTTTTAAAAATTAAAGCATAATTTATTCTGTTTAAGAATAATTATGCTTTAAACCTATTTAGGTTTATTCTGTTTAACAACCACACCTGAAAAGCAGTCTAGAAATAAGTAAACAATTCTTAAAAGTGTGTTTAGCCTTAATTTGAGCAGGTAAATAAGATGATTTGCCAATGGAATTATGATTTTTACTCCTAAAATAAGATAATTAGATAATATGCACTTGAAATAAGATGAAGCAATTGTTTTTTTTTATAATTTTAATGTTAATCATCTTGCTCCATTGGCAAAGAGTCACACTTACCTCCTCAATACAAGAAAAAATGCACTTATTTTAAGAAAAAATACTTATTGAGATTTACATTTTTTGTAGTGCATGAATAGTTTCTATTTTTAGTTCTTTGCTTTCAGAGTGAGTGGTTTATGTGTTGAAACATTTCTAAAGGCCTGCAGCATGCGTTGGAAATCATTAACAGCCTGAGTAGATGCAGATCCACGCTTCCTTACGGAAACACATTCGTTCTTATGCTGTAATATATGCAGGCCTTTTGAAAAGAAAAAAAAAACGTATAAACTGCATTTGCTCACCATGTTAGTTTTTACAGCCTCTTCCTCTGAATCTTTCAGTCCTGTTTCTGATGGTTCTCCCCTCCGTCTGTCACGAGTCTGAGGTGTCCACCTGCTCTCTGCTGCCTCCAGCATCCTTAGTAGTTTTGGGCGGAATTTTTCTGGTCCTTCTTCAACATCTTCTTCTGAGTCATTGGCAGCAGTGTCCTCCTCTTCCTCATCCTCCTGCTCAGCTCTTCCCTCTGTGAACGGTTCTGGAATCTCCTCGGGGAAAGCCAGGTCCTCCCAGGAGCTTCCTATCTGGCTCTTTTCTTTTGACATTACTCCCCAGCTTGTCAGTAATGAAGTGACTTGTATCCTGGCTCAGGTTTGCTTGCTCTCCGTCCTTTACCCACATACTGTACATATTTCCTCCTGCAAGGCATGTGTTAACCCCAAACAGCAGCACTCTGTGGTCACTTTGACTAAATGTAAAGCAGATAATTGATCCCGGAAGCAATGTGTACAGGGTAAATATGAGTCCTCCCACTGTTGTCATTCTGAAAAGTATAACTTTGCTAAGTATAATGCCCTGCTCACAGCTATAAAAACATTTATACACGGACATTATAAAGACTTTTGTGTATTTCATAATTGAAACATCTTTGGTTGTGCTCTCAGGACTTGTAGAGCTGCTCCATGTTTCCGTGTTGATGTCGACAACACTGTCACCAAACACAATAAGAGTGGAGACACATGAGCCACATGAACTTCATACATAAACCGGTATGATGACTTTATGTTTACAATAAACCCCAAAAGCATCAATAGTGGCCCCATGTTGACCGACTGTTACACAAACACAAAAGATGGGAAGTAAAGCCCTTGCTGGCTAAACATGCAGAGATTAATCATGACATCCGTACACATCTTTATATCGCTATACAGGGTTGGACAGCTTTTGTCTTCAGTTTGCCTAAAAGCTTTACAATAGTATAAAAAGATCTAAATTTTCTCACATTCTAACCCTCAACTTCAATGCATGTAACTCAAATTGTATATGATAGACAAACAATAAGTGGAGCACAACTTTGAAGAGGATGGAAAGGCATAGTTGGTCCATACTCTGAATCTCTGGTTTAATGTTATTTATCACGTGAATATTTGTCCCATGTTCTGGCTCCATTTTCCAGGTGTTGGCGTATTTTTTTTCTTTCTTTCTGTGTTTCTTTTGTTTCATTATTTCCTATATGTGTATTTCGTGCGAACTTGTCTTGCCATATTCTGCTCATGTTAGTTTTGCCATTTGGGTTTTTCCATATATTCCATGTCTTCTTTTATTGTTTGATGTTTTCCATATTAGTGCATTTTTTCATGTTAAGCTTCCTATAGTTTATACCACTGTTTTCTTCCATTTAGAGTTAGTTACACTTTCCCAGGTTTCCTTGTAGCTCTACTCTACTTATTTGTCATCTTCTTTTTAGCTGCTTTGTTTTTACTTCACCTTTGCTGATCCTCGTTCCATCTGATTAGCTCTTCTGGTTAATCGATCCTCTTCCCACTCCGGCTCATTGCATTCACTTGTACTCATTGTTCTCTCCATTCTTCCATTGTTCCCATTCTCTGTCAGTTTCCTTGTTTTTCAAGCATTAATTGCCCGCTCCAATTCTTTTCCTTTGTGCAAAATTAAGTTGTAAGTCTTTCTTATCTTATTAAAACATTCAGTCCTACTTTAGTTCTATCTTTGCTTAAGAAAACCATCTCAGAGCGTTATGCTTCCACCACTATGTTTAACTATGTTGATTCTATGCATTTAGAATTCAATCTTTATTAACTTCCTTATCCATGATATTATCTGTGTAGCTTTTGGCTTACTTAAAAAAATATTTCTAATTGCTTTCTTTGAACATTGACTGCTTTCTTGTCGCTCTTTCATAATATGTAGCACAAATGCCTTGTTGTTGTGTCAATTCAATCCAGATTGATTCAATTAATTGGTAAGGAGTCTATTTACAACACATGTCATCTCAAGGCACTTTACAGAGACAATGCGGTAAGATTGGTTAAAAGTTTCTATCAAGAAAAAAAGCAGTTGATTGCATCACCTGTCAGTCTGAGCTGTTGCATTCTTACACACCCTCCCGTTCCCTCAGGTCAGCTGATCAGTTGCTTCTGAGGGTCCCAAAGACAAAATGCAAGCTCAGAGGAGACCGTGCTTTTTCTGTGGCAGCTCCTAAGCTGTGGAATGATCTGCCTCTGAGCATAACACAGGCCTCTTCTCTTGCTGTTTTTAAGTCCCTTCTTAAGACTTATCTTTTTTCCTTGGCTTTTGGCACAATTTGAGAGGTTTTAATTTGTTTTATTCTTTTTATATACTAATATGTATTTTACACTCGTTTTTTCTCTATTTTATAATTTTATTGTATTTTATGATTGTGTACAGCACTTTGGTCCTGTCCGATGCATAAACTGCTTCATAAAGAAAGTTGGTAAGGCATGGTCAGCGCACAGCTGTGTGTCTGTGTTGAGGAAATGTTTTGCTTTGAAAGTATCATCCCTAATATTCCTGTAAATAAGTGCTTTAATGGATTAGAGCAGATCAAATCTGATTGAATATTTCAGGTCTCCATCCATGGGCCTCTGGGTGCAGGAGTATCAATGTTGTAGCTTTATATCCACTAGAGGGCAGAACAGTTCTGCACTGTTCCATCCCCGCCAGACTATTGACCCATTCATGACACCAATCCCACCCATGTTGATTTAATTCTTTCCCAAAGTAAAAGTCACAAGACTCACTTCTCCTTACTCAAAGTTAGGAGAAGTTTAAAAATGTCTCTTCCGCTGTGAAGCTTTGTGCTTTCTTATCACTGTTTTGCTCTTGTTCTTCTACATTTCCCCATAATATTAGCGTATAAAGGCCTCTCTGCTGATCCTGGCTCATTTATATCACATTTAGCAAAAATCAATGAAACATGAGCCAGGTCATAACACAGAATACTGACGCCAAACAGCATTAGTCATTTATTTCTAAAAAAAAACATCTCTCAAAGAGAAGTGATGTGAACAGATTTCACAATCTCTTGTCACAACATCACATATTACAGATGCCATTAATGTGAGCCTAATATAACTGACTAGATCTAGATTTATCATTGCTAATGCAGTTAACATTTGCTACCTCAATTTTCTCTGCCTAATAAAAGCAATTCTTGTGTTTTACTCTCTGAAAAAAACATACTACTAAACTGTCTTGGATCCTAATACGTTTAGTTATTTTTGCAGTTTCAGTACATTTCCAACACATTTACAACATCACTATCAATGGATTGCACATGTTCAGGAACAAACAATTCAAATATTTTTTTCCCAAGTGCTCATTAGAGATAAAAAAAAAAAAAACTGGATTTAAAAACTGTAGCAGGTCTTTATTAGAGTATAAAAAAGTACACATAACATTTTTGATGGTTTTAAATAAATTAAGTGCACAGGAACTCACAGAATCTACTTATGCTTAGTGGGTCCATCAGTGTCAGCTCCTTTCCTGACCTCATCGACCACGAATGTTCTTGTACTGACACAGGAGCAGGTGCTTGAAGGTGTTCTTGAAGGTGGCGTTGCAGAGGGCGTAGCAGGCGGGGTTGATGGTGCTGTTGATGTAGCATAGCCAGTAGCCAATGGTCCACAACGTTTTAGGGATGCAGGTGGAGCAAAATGTGTTAATGAGGACCATTACGTTGTAGGGCGTCCATGTGACGACAAAAGCGATCAGGATGGCCATGATGGTCCTGGTCACCTTTCTCTCCCTGGAAGAATTACCTCTCCTTTTCCACTTTGTCACGACTCGCTCGGTTACAGTACGCTTTGTGGCCTAAAGGGACGAGAAGAGAAAAGGAGGAAAGCTTCTGTCTTTGCATCATTAACTGTGTTTTTTTTTTTGTTTTTTTAGAAGATAAAGGTTTTAGAGTTGCATTTCTTTCTAGTTTATAAAGTGCTAAATATTAACAAATGCTGTGCTGTTTGGGATATACTGCCTCAGCTATTGCAATGACTCTCTGTACTTCAATTTTAAATACATTAACTAGAGGAATATTAAAAAGGATATTGCAATTGCAAAATAGAGTAAAAACATGAAGTTCATATATTAGAATCAATAAAAAAAAAGCAACTGTTGTAATAAACAAAAGCTGAAGATAATTCTTTAATGAAGAGTCAAACTAATGACTGCTAGAAAAAATGTAGTCCCAAAGATTTTCGACATCTTAGCAGTAAAGTCTTAAAATTTAGTGGTTGTTAAAAAAAGATTGCTTTTAAACACCACATTACTTAATCTTTTTAATATTTCAGTTGTGATAAATACTGTATTATAGTTCTGACTGTGGTTACAATACTGACTATTTATAAATTATTTCATACAAAAAAACTATAAGGTCTCCACCACATAATTAGAAATGATCTGCTCTGTATGTGGTATTCTTGATGTTTGGATAAAGGGTAAACAAACTTCAAACTCTGACAAAAGAAAGAGGCATGTTATATCAAATATATCAAGCATATCTAGCATATCTAGTTGTATTTTCATCAGGCCTCCCCCTGTTGAGATATTTGGCTTCAAAATACAGATGTAAATATCATTGTGATTTTAAGAACACAAGTTATTTTAATATAAAACAAAGTTGTTGACATTTGACACATGGTAATACTAATACCCAAACTATTATTGTAACATTTTTAAAGCAATTCTGAGAGAAATAAAATGTAGAATTCAGTCAAACTCTTACCATGAGTAATGTCCTTGCAACCATACTTTGTCGATCAATAGCTGAAATCTGTGGAGAAGGCTGTGTTTGATTTTTACCAATACTTGTGCTCTTCCTCAATGAACAGGGATCTTTGGATGTTGAAGCTTGGACAATCTCTGATGTAGAGTCCACCTGGTCTACTTGCTCTTCACTACACGGCCCAGTTCCATTTTGCTGATGCAACATGTCCTCGTCCGTCCCATCTACACCATCCTCTTGCTTGTCTTGCTTTTTTGTGCCACAGTTGTTTTCGCAGCCTTCCTCTTGGCTGTTTGAGGCAGGTTCTGCCAAACTCGTACCTGAAGTCTTCCTGCTGTTCTTCCTCATGCGGCTTCGGCTTGCCTTAGAGATTCGCCAGTACAGGTAGATCATAATGGCTACTGGCAGGTAGAAGGCTGCTATGGCTGTCCCAAATGTCACTGCTGCATTAGAGAAGAACTGGATGAAGCAGTGATCAGGGGGCACCGTTCTTTCTCCTACAAAGAACTGCCAGAATAAAATGGCAGGAGCCCACAGGATGAAGGACAGGACCCAGGCAGCAGCGATCATCAATCCGGCCATCTTTGTGCTGCGACGGGTTGGGTAGCTTAGAGGTTTTGTGACACAAAAGTATCGGTCAAAGCTT